TCAGTTTTTGTGTGTGAGCTCGCATTGTCGTGATGAAGGGTGATTCGTCTTCGGCGGTTGGATTTCCTCATTTTTTGAAAGACCTTTGGCAAAAAGATGGTTGTATATCACTCAGAATTTACTGTTCTATGTTGTTCCAGTGGTATGGCTTCTACATGTCCAATTAAAGAAAATCGAAAACAGGCAACCAGTTGTCTCGAAGTGCTTTATGCGCCAGCCGCTTTTGGCGGATTGGGATTCGGTTTTTTGGAAATACTGTTCATTTTCAGGCTGATATGCGTAGTGTCACGATTTTATAGACGTGTTTCGAATGTATTTCTTTATCATTTCTCACGACCAATAGATCTTTTTTTGACCGATTGACAAATAGCGTGGGATCCAAGGCTACATTTGGGTTCCACTAATCATAATATAACTATAGTTTTTTAAATCTCACGATCTTTTAATATCAGACAACAACAAGACGTTCAACAACAACTAAACGTTCCCAAAATTCGTTTTAGAGTGATCTAAGACCGCAATTGAAGACACCTTGCCACTGATAAACAACAACCTTGATGGAGCTTCACCCTCCAAAACTCAATTTATTTCATCGATGTAGTGCTTCTGAGTTAATCCATTCCGAAAATTCTGTAAAAAAAAATTATTTCACGAAAATGTTCTAGGTCGCAAAATTTTTTGGCCGACATGAATATTTTAAGTTACTGTAAACAACACAAATATCGCTCGTAAATTTATGATAAATCAAATTGGATCGCATTGAAATTCTCTCGGTTGCTAACACGACGATTTTCAAGCGCTTTTACTTTAATTTTTCAATGTTATGAATGCTTTATGCCACGTAAATATTTGTGTTCGTGAAAAGGTASCTCCCAAAACACTTCAACATTTTCAACGATTCCGTAGCTAGTTGCTCAATATTTTTCCATGGCAAGAACGCCAGACAAACCTTTTGTGTAATCAATTGATAAACTAATTAATTGACATTAAGACCTCAAACTTGTTGTAAGGTTGTAAACTGTAAGAAAAAAATTATAAATGATACTATTTAAACAGTCCGTCACATTTGATGACGTTATACAGTCAAGTGCTGTTTACTTGCCGCGAATACTGAAGAATCTCTGTTCTCTGAGTGTATTATTTAACTATTTTTTTTTTATTATTAGAAAATAAGATGATATCGAAAATATGCATGAGTATTCCTTCCTCATACATTCTTATTCAAATTCAAATAAAAATGTTAACGTAATTTATAAAAATAGTATGGCAGAGCTTAGAAAGCTACCGCCTCACACCAAACAGCTTTAAAAGCTTCGGCGCTACATAGCTGAAATGTGAAAGCTTCGGCTGATTGCGCCGCTTTATGCAAAACAACCACTGATATCTATCAGAGCATGCAATGTAAATAACGGCAATCCACCCCAACTGTTCGTAATTTCTCCAGCTGTTCTTGGTGGGGCACGTATTTTTACTACACCTGCGCACTAACCATTCGGAGTAAGTCGTTGATAGCGCCACACTTTCGGCAGATATTCTTCGGTGGGTTCGTGAAGGGTGGCCTGCTGCGAAGGCTTTACGTGTTGATTGTTCAGCATGTTGCTTTGCTTGTCGGGCGGGGTGGCATGAGTGCGGGCCGCATACTCACCTGTGCTTGCGCTGCTTTCCCCTGCGTTAGCCGACCTCACCGAGTGAATTCCGGTGTGTGTGTGTGTGCGTGCTTGTGTTTTGTCGTCGGAAATGTGCAAGCAGGTGTAACAATTATTTTCTCGTTGATTTTTCTTTGACGCATGTGCTTCTATTGACGTTTGTATGCGTGTGTGTGTGTGTGCTGTTGAACAGTTAGCTGCGTATGTATGCCTCTCGCTCGCACCTGTTGTCTGCCCTATCTGTCTCGATTATTTGGCAGTAATATTATTACGCCAACAATAACAATGAACGCAACGGCACGGCAACGATAACGACAACGACAAGCATCAATAGCTGGCAAGCGGGTGGGCAGCAGCACAAGCGTGCTGGCACACAATGCGCGCGTTTTGTCGTTTTTGTTAGGCGATGCGATGCAATGCGATGCGGCACGAAGGTGAAAGCCGAGCGCCGGCTATGCTGCTGGTACTGGTACCGTTAGCAGCGCTACAATGGGTGCAACCCCCATGCACGGACGGCCAAGCGAACATGCCGCATGCCGTCTAATGGGAAATGCTCGGTTTTCCGACAGCCACACACAGCAACAACGCGGTAGCGGAGTAACGGTGTGGCGCGACGCGGTGTGCTACTGTTGAAGCTATGACGCATGCGATGGTTTCAGGACCAACCGGCCGTGCGAACTGAAAAGTGGATGGCCGCGTGCAATGGGGGTTGGGCGCGCCGGGGGTAGGTAAAATGATAGTCGCTGTCATGAATTCAACAGAATTATGCCACATATACAGCGTTCGTGTTGTTGCCACTGTTACCGTGTGTTGAATGCAAATGCTTTCCCTCTCGTTGGCAATGGAGCAGCAGCTGTGTTATGCGGGTGCACTTAAGCAGCGGTTTGAGGTAGTTAGGCTTCTTTCGAGTTGTTGTTTATTTAACATTACATTTCAGCGATGTTATCTTATCTGTTGAATGGGAGGCGCGCTACATTAATGTGCAGTTTGAATTATGTTACTAGGTATGAATGTTTATGAGGAGCTGGATATTTTGAAGCCAATTTCAAATATATTCTATGAACAAAATATATATATTCTTTGAACTCAAATAACTCTAGCTTGTTAAAAAATGTTAAGACTGGTTGTGCGAAATTTTGTTTCATTATTATTTATCATTTTTATGCTCAACAGCTAATGAAAGATTTGGCGTTTTCTCCGAAATTTATCGTTATTCTTGGAGTTTCGGAATGCTTAGTGCTTCAGATTTTTACGAACAAATTTTATATAGCAGAAACGCCGTTTTCTCAATGTCTGGTTAGCAGACATATATACCCACAACTTAACCTCTTCTTTACCCACAACTTTCCTTTTCTTAACTAGAACTTAACTGACGAATGGCTGACCAGACTTTCGGGAAAACTGTCCCAAGTTTTCTCCTTCAACTTTCTTTTAGGGAATTTACTCAAATGTAACTTCGTTTATGAATTTCGAAGCTTTGCTTAAAAGCTAGTTAAAGATGGGAAAAGTATGAACTAAGAGTTGTTGGAATTAATTATCCTCTAAATTCCAAACCTTTTCTTTAATGTTTAAAAATAAAGCCAAAAAAAATTTCGTGGGAAAAATTGAAAAACAATAAGGTTTCTATCGTTTGGACTAACAATTTGTTCGCCCTCTTGTGGAATATACCAATATATCCTTAATTGTTATCCTAAATATTTTTAAAGACTTCTTCATCCCATAATTCGGTGATATTGTATGTCTAAAAAATATTATTTTCAAAGAACGGAAGTTATAAATTATCATAATTTGAAATAAAGGCTAGAAATCTATGACTTAAAAAATTTTGTTAACCCAAAGTGAGTACTGTTGGGCTACATCGACCCGAATCTCATAGTAAAGTGATTATTTTGTATGAAATTTAAAAAGAAAACTCTCGGATTGGCAAATCGTAGAAAAAGAACTGGCATTAGTAATATATTTTAGAAAATATTATCGAAAAAAATTTCAGCACTAAATTAATCAGTCTCTATCGAGTGATTCGAGTCTGATATGAGAAAGCGTTTTACTTGGTCTGATATATATTTGAAATTAATTAAAAATGCTGAAGGAAATCCGGAACTAATTTAGATATTGTTTTAATAAAGACTGGAGCTATCGCTTTCGGTCCACCAGACCCATTGACATAATACAATAAGACAACCTTTCTAATAAAAAATTAAATGTCTGAAAGTTGTCCTGTGACCGCTTTGGTCTACTCTTATACAACGACTTCCTTTGTAGACGATATAAGAGTACTTGCAATCACCAAACTCCTGTTTCGAAATTCCGACTCATTGTTTTGTTCTTTAAAATAACTAAATGGAGCCATCATTATCACAGCAAGTGTGTGGATGAGATTGGAAGACTGCTGCGTACGTGCAAGCGGCGAATATGATTTAGAACCAAAAACAGTTTACCGACAAAAGGCAAGAGTTGTGTCATCTTTTGTGCCTTTGTTGTCACAAAACAGTAAGCGGAGGCATAGCGGCGTAGAGAAGAAAGAGCCAGAGCTCTAAACAAGCCGCTGTCGCTGTGTGAAGTTATTCTTTAGCGCATAGGACAATAATGAGCACATCATCAGTTAAGACCGCAGTCAACAACCTGTGCGAATCGCAGAGAACAACAAAGGAATCGCAGTTCGCACACCTGAAGCGTTGAGCACAAATTAGGAAGGTAAGAGAAAAGTGCCACAATAATTACTCTTCATACATTTTAGGAGTATACTTGGTGTGCTCCGAAAAGGCGAATGAGCGCAACGACGAAAGTGGAGAAGTAAAGGAGAATGTTTTGAAAGCAACGACGGAAGAGCAGAACCGAGCTGAAAGCAAACATCGTCATCAACAGGAAGGTGTACGAGCGTAGCAACGAAACTAAGCAAAAGCAAATGTTAAGAGTACGAAGACTAGAGGAGCGTACACGGGGAACACTTAGGCATGGTTGTGATGCCTTCGACTTTAAAGTCGTGCATGTGGATGCCGATGATGAAGTACGGACACACACATACATATACGCCCTCACATATGTATACACAGGCACACACTCACGCGCAAAGTTGGCTTGAAGAGAGTCGCTAAAGTCGGAATCAGTACGCCAAATAGGCAAGCAAGGCAGGCAGGCGGATGACACAATACCCGACTGTATGCGCTCACTTGCGTGGTGTCGATGTCGGTGTTGATGGTGGTGGTGGCGCACATGAAACGAATACATACGAAAGTGTGGCGCACGAGCGTAGCGACGAATTCAACAGATTCAAAAGCCGAACTCCGAATGCAAAAATTGGTATATTACCTTAGAATGCCAGTCGTTCTTACTTCAGTCTTCGTACAGTCTTTGCTTTAACCCGTTCCAATTCTGTCCGCCGTCGCTCTATTAAATAATAACAAAAATAACAACAACAAAAATAAACAAAATAATATCACAACCGACAACCATAACGAGTATCGCATCTAAAAAAAAAAATCAAAATAAAATAAACACAAAAACAAATCCAACAACAACAGTTGCAGCAGGAAAACTTCGCTCCAAAAACACACGATATTCTAAAATATCCAAACAGCAGTGGCGAAACTATCAACAAGCGCTAAAGAGCAGCACGCAACAGGAGTGGTTGTAGAGTGGAGCAGCAGCAGCAGCAACAGTGTGTCTCAGTGTTATCAACAACATTGCCGCCTTCGTCGCCGCGCGCAACAACGTCTCTCCATATCGACGCCGCAGTCGCCGCTGAAGTCAGCGCCAAAGTCGAAGTCACAGTCACAGTCAAGCGTCAGCAGTCGAACGTCAAAATACGACAACAACGACAACGACGACTACAGCACCAAAGGGCAGCGGAGAAGACAGAAGACTCTGCACAACGCACACAAAATTTCGATATCCAAATCAAAGTTGCGTTCAAATCGAACACGGCCGCAATAGTAGCAACACCGTAGCATCGTAACACGCGGACTCTCGACACTCGACACTCGAGATAGCAAACCTTGCCACTTACTACCACTCACTAGTGCAGTTCTAACCACGTCGTCGACGTGCACCAACATACGATAGCAGTTATCAGCCGAAAGTTGCAAATAATTTTAACGTGTCCACTTTGAGTTGGTTTTCGCGTGCAACGTGTTGTTGAATAAAAAATCCAAAAATTTTCAAAAATCGAAAAATCATAAACAGCTTTAAAAAGTTCTTTAGGTGAGAAAGCGTCAAGAAAACCAAACCGAAATATCGTCAATAAGCGTTGGTGTGCAGTTTTCGTTATCATTTTGAGTTTTCAATTTTTTTTTTTTTTTAAATATTAGCGATTTCCTTGAAAATAGTCGCGCGTTTCTGAGTTTAGTGTGAAGCAGTGATAATTACCAATTTTTCCAAGTGAAATTTGAGCTAATTGCTTTTAGAAACATTTTTGTTTTTGAAACCACGCAGCCTATTTTCGAAACGAAGCTGTGAGTATTTTCACGTCTTAGCTGAGCTATAATTATATTTTAGTACCAACTTTAAATTTAATTTTCCTACTAACTACTAACCAACTTACTAACCCTTTATTGCTGATTTTTCCACTATTCTAACTTTAAACTATTTGTAAACACAAAGCCAAGACATTAAAGTCAAGTTCAAGTACGAAGCGCAGCAACTTAAACGCTCGCACTTGTAGCATGTTTCGAGGCGAGATCAAAAACAAAAAAAAAAAAACAAAAAAAAACATCAAACACATCAAAAAACTGGCTCTTCTTGAACATTAAAAATATTGTAGAATTAATTTTTCGCCAAGGAAGCGTGCGAAAAGAATTGGTAATTGCAGAAACAGCGGCTCCAAGCCAACAACAATTGCACAAGCCTACTTGAAGCAATGTGGGCAGCCGCGTGAGTTGAGCAGTGGCAGCGACAAAGGTTCATTGATTCTTTAAGCAAGCGCTTGTGTAGCTTATAAGCCGCGCTTAAGCAACAACAGCAACTACACATGAGCACAGCAGTGGCAAGCAGAAAAGCACATGATAAAAAACCAAAAGCGAAAAAGAAATATTTAAAAAAATATTTAAAAGAAGGTGTGTGTTTTTTGAAGCAGAGAAAAATATGAGCAATAACATGGAGAAGCGCGAAAAGCAGCAGAAATGGCGGCACAGGTTAGCCGGCACTAAGCGCACACAAACTGGCTAAGACACAGAATGAAGTTGTATAATAAACGCACGCACCAACACACACACGCAACGCGGCTTAGTGTGTGGAAAAAAATATGAAAGCGGTGAAGCAAATCAGAAAATAGTCATTGTGGCCAGCAAAATGTAGCATACAGACTTGGCATGAAATGACGAGTCAGCCAGACAGCTAACTCGTCATACACACGCACACGTACGCGCGCACAACAGCAGCGCTTGGCAAGGCTTATGAGCGGCCAAGCAGCCGGCGAAAACACGTTTTCTTGCAAGGCGGCCCGAAAGAACCTGTGCGGCTGAGTGCCGAGCGGCGCACAGACGAAATTATAAATTAAGAAGTCGAAAGAAAGACCTTACAAAACCCAAAAAAAAAAAAAAAAAAAAAAAAAAAAAAAAAAAAAAAAAAAAAAAAAAAAAAAAAAAAAAAAAAAAAAAAAAAAAAAAAACAAACAGCACAGCGAGAGCGTAAATAAAGTAGAAACGCTTGAATGAAAAACAAAAAAAAAGAAAACACGAAAAAACTCGAGCACAAATCGACTAAAGAGTGCAGAAATGTGTGAGGAAAAAAATTAAATAATTGTGCCGAGCAACAATTTGGGAGCGAAACAAGGCAAAACAACAACGGCTCACAGCAGAAAAGGTTACTTTACAAAAGGGAATAATCAAAAACTGTTGTTGGCAACGAAAAGTAAATTGGAAAAGAAGCGCACAAGCAAGCGGCTATTCTTGGAATTACACGTATTGCGGTGCGAACCAACAAGTGAAAACACAACATCAGACGCACAGCACAGCACAGGTATTTAAGCCAAAGTGGAAAGAAAGAGGAAAAGCAAAAAGTAGCGAACGTTTCATTGCGCGGCCACGCAAGAGACGATGTGCGGGGAAAACGCACAAAGTGGTCGAATATTGTTATTAACAGAGTCAGGAGAGGCCAGGCCAGCCAAGCCAAGTCAAGCTGGGCAGTTAGCGGCGAGACGGGTGTAAATTACAAAAGGAGCACAAAAATAATAAATGATATGAGGCGCGCAACAAAGCGCTGCAGACGAAGGGGACAGAAAGTTAACCAAAAAAATATAACAAAAAATGTGAAAAAAATAGAAAAATAAAAGGAAAATTATTATGAAAATCTAGTGAGCAGCATACAAAATAAATGTTGAGGAAAACACCACAAAAAGTGGGAAAACTGTGGTGTCATTATCGACACAAAGCGAAAAGCCAAGTTAGAAACTCTCAGCAGCGTTATTAGCTGTGCGAGCATGATTTGGCTTAATAGGGAACGCTAGTGGACTCAAGGGCGTCTGGAGCGCACTTGCCACAATGCCACTACAAAATATTTCGGCATAATTACTGACGCATTTACAGTGCGCACATACAAAACACATGACTTCTAGAAATATGTGTTTGCTTTGTAGAATCATGACTGAAGGCAGAGGCTTGCCATAAAAGAAAAAAAAACTATATATGTAATAACTACAATAGAGAAATGAATACAAATGATCTATGAGCGCTACACGTGTAGGCAGCTAACTGCTGGCAGAACGCTTCCGTTGCCGCTGCGTAAGCGCTGAGATTGACGCGCTAACTTGAGCCGCGTTTGCCAACAAATTTCTACTCGCTTTCGGTTTTCAAGCAATCTTACTTTGCTACTCGTTCTTTTCTTGCCACACAAATACCTTTTAATTACTTTACTGCCACCTTTTTACTGTATATTTCCTGACACATCTTTCTCGCCTCACAAACGCTGTTGCGGCAGGGCTACTTCAGGCAGCGCTATATTGTAGCCGATTTACAGAAAGCAATAACTTTTTCAAAAGCTAAAAAACAAGTAAAAATAAACAAAAAAAAGGAGAGCGTAACAAGTAAAATCAGCATAAAAAAGCGCGGCTGCTACACTTGAGAGAAGCGTAAAAAATTGTTTAAGTAGAAACGAAAATAATATCGCGCTTTGCGAAAAAAAGCCGCGCGCAGCAACAGTAGGCGCTAAATGCCGCTGGTGTTAGTGTGTGTGTGTGTGAGCAAAAACCGGTAAAATATTTTAACGAATTTTGTGCGTGCGAACCGAAAATCGCGCCAAGCGTAGCCGCCAGCAAGAAATCAAAGACACAAAGCGTTTAAAATGCGGCTAAAAGCAGCAGCAAAGTCACAGCGTCAAGCCACAAGCGGCTAACAACAAACAATTCAATATTTAACTGAGCAAAACTGAAAGTCAAGAGCGCGCGCTAACGAAAAATAAAAATATTTATTGTTACTTTCGGCCGCTCTCAGCTGGAAAAATAAAGCTGTCAGCAATGATTATTATTTCAAGACAATTATTTTTATGTACTTAAATTGTTTCCGTTTGAGCTCCATTCAGGCGCTTTCTGTGCCTGCCTTACAATTATAGTTATAATTATTTTAAGTTTTTTGTTTGCTTTGGTTAAATCGCGATGTTCACGCGGTTAATTATTGAATTCTGGACTCATTGAAGATTTATAGCAGCTGATTTATTTAAATGCTCTGAAAGGCGGCTAAAACGCGCTTCATAATTTCGGTTTTTTGGTGTTAGTGCGTGAGATATTTCTTGAAGCGAAAACTGCTCCAAAGTAAAGCAACTCTTTGAGATTCTGCTGGAAATTTTTACATGAAAAAAAAACGTTAAAAGTTGTGGCCGTCTAGCGTGGAAGTAAAATGTGAAGCCATCCAATATTTATTAGTTCTAATAACATTACCACTGCCTCATAAAATAAGTGTAGTATGTTTATGCCTTTAGATCAGCTCATATCTGGAGGTTCCACAAGTGTAAATAAGATATTTTATGCCTTATTTAATTTCTTTAAACTCATTTTGTAAAAAAGAAGTATTATTCTTTAATATAACTTTCTTCAATATTTTCTTGTGTCAAATCTTAAATTTATTTTTTTCTCCAGAGAATATCAATTTTTTATAAAAAAGTTCTAAAAGCGTTGCTGTGAAAATGTTTTTAAGAAAATGTCTTGAATTATATAGATTTTTATTTTTGTGAAAATATTGTTGTGAAAATTTCACATAACCGCGTTATTAGTGTTTACCAATTAAAATTAGATTAAACCTTAAAATTTTCAAATTATTTTTAAACTGCGCTCTGAATAAATATTTTTTTCTAATTTGTATTTCAAATGCATTTGTACTCGATTACTCCTCTAAAATAGTTTTTCCTAAAGTATTCTTTCGCATTCTCTTAAAAACTATCTAAAATGAAATTCGAAGTTATTTAAATCATACTTTGTTATACTGAATATATAAACAAATATTTAGCTGATAATGAACAAGAAATTATCAACGAATTCTGGTTACTAATAAAAATATAGAGGAATGCTTTCAATAAATTATTTCACTATAATATTTTCAGAGCATAATTGCTCAGTGTTTTAACTTCAAAATCGCTTCATTGAGTTGAAATATTGCAAGGTGTCCGTATTTAATAGGTATTTTTTACATTTATTCTACAGAATACTCATATTAGGTTTAAAAATATTTTAAAGTTTTTCTCGCGTTCTAGGCATGAAATTTTGTAATCTTGAGTTGCCCTAAAGTTTTATCATTCCTGGCTTCATATTATTACTTTGGCAGTATATTTTCATAAAAACTCTCTTATCAGCTCCCTTTGCTAGCTGTTCTTTTCGTATTCTTTTTAAACGAAAAATTCGTAAAACTTCAGCATAAAATACTCAAAACCGTTCAATTTTTGAAATATGTGCAAGTCCCTTTGCTAGCCCTTCGTTTCTAATGTTTTCTAATAAAAAATTAGCGTGAGTTATTACAACCCGAAACTTTTCACATAAAACATCCAAAACAATTTTTTGTTTCTTGAAATATTTGTAAGTTGGGCCCCAAAGTAAATACCCAAAACTATTCAGTTTTTGAAATATTTGCATCTTTAGACTATTTTTAGATTTTATTGAGCTATTTCATAAAATTCTTAGTCCTTAACGGAGTTGCCCTCTACTAATAGAATGTGTCGTGGAATCTCAACTATTTTATTTTTCATTTAATATTTCAAAGGTGCACGGCAAGAAGTTTACAACCTCGAGTTGTCATAAAGTTTTATTTTTTTATTTTTTTTTTTTATTTTATAAAAGCTTACATAATAATACAATTATTATACAAACTAAGAAAATACACAGCACTAGCATCATGGGCTATCGGCCAAGTTATTGTTACCCAAAACTCTCCGCACAAAATACTCACGACTGTTAGAACTCCTGTTAGACTTTTACAAATATTTGTCGGTTCGCAGTAGTTATGTATATATATTTTTTTTTAATATAGATAGCAATAAGTTGCTGGTTATTAAAGAAGTTGCCTTTAATTTCTAAAATTTACCCTCGAATTCTGAATATTTTAAGTTCTTTTCTTTTTAAAATAATTTCTTAATTATTATTTATTGTTTAAAAATCCATGTATTAGAAAGTACTTATAATTTTCTTCAAGGATTTCCAATTCAGGCCTAGTTTGTCTTTCAATCTGCTTAAAAATCAGTTTCTAATCGTTTTCCAAGCCAAAATGTTTAGTCAGAACGAAATAGACTTGACACACAACAAACAAAAAAAAAAGTTCTTGAAATTCTTTGCACTAAAAAATTTAGAAAAAAAACATGTTAAAATTGTCAGTATGATTCATAATTTTTTACTACGACTTAAATCTTTAACTAACACAAAAAAAAAAAAAAAATATTTGAATTGTTTTTTCGAAAATATTTTGTATTAAGCATTTCAGCTGTGAACGAAGTTTATGCGAAGTCGCCTTACGTTTTTTTTTTATAAAGATGCTCGAGTAGTGAGTTTTTGAGTATTAACAAGTTTCTTTCCCACATTCTAAGGTAAAAAAATAGCTGATGGAGGTTTTAGGATTTTTTCAAGGGAGACTTATTTTTTATATAAAAATTACGTAAATTTTTTTGATAATTTTTTTAATTATTATAATTAAGTGATAATTTCCTCACATAAGCGTCGTTTTTTCTCTTATATATAGTTTTTAGTTTTAAGTACCTAACCACCAACTAAAGACAGCTTATGTCGAGCAAATAGTTTCCACAAACTAATTCTAAAAAACACAAAAATTTACTGCAAATATAAAAGTCAAAGCGTTAATGAATATATTTTATTGCAGCGACAGCATTTAACGTATTAATAAAAATAAAAACTTCGGTGGTATTTTATCCTCTGTCAAACCAAAGCTATTCCCCAAGTCATAAACTATTGCACACATAAGTACTTCACTTCTCATAAACAAACTGAAAACTAAACGAAAAAGCTTTCAAATAAGCAAGTTTCAATTTGAATTTGTACTACAGCAAATTGTTGCTACTTTTAAGTAAATATTTATGAAAATACGTTGGTGTTATGTAATTGCAAACATTAGTAGCAGAAGTTGTACTTACTTGAAAACCGAAATCTAAGCTACTAAACCACATATAGGCGCAAATCTAAACTTTCACAGTAAGCGAAGATCTCAACAGCGACTTTATTACGAAAAAAATATATAGTAAAAATCATAAATTAATTAATAAAATATAACGGTGAGCGAATCACTACAAATTTACAAGAATTTATTGTTAGTGCAGCTGTAAATGTTTAGATCATTTAGCAAAACGAGCGAGTTCTGCGCTAAAAACTGACTTGAGGTCAGTGGGCGCTAGAAAAAATCTAACTGTTGTCATTGTATTTGTATTGAAAGCCCATATTAGCAACAGACAAGCGAGTCCTTGCGCTTTTTTGCAATTTTGTAAACTAATTTTGAGCAAAATTTCAAAAAACAAAAAATATTTTAAGTAAACCAAAGGTTGTTGAATATTGGATTTTATGTGCAGAAATTAACACATCATATTATATAATAATAAAATACATACAAATAATTTTTAATATTACATATCAGTGTTAGAACAATTGTACCAGTAGCGTTAGTTGTGTGAACGAGAGTTCAGAGCAAATAGACGAAAGCAATCAGCAGAAAATTGCGACAAAATCAAAGTATTGTAAAAAGGTTGTTTACGTAACGTACGAGAGCAGTGAGCGAAACATTTATCGAAAAGCAAAAAAAAAACAAAAAACAAAGCAGCAAACAAGTACACAAACACATTGTAATCAAAGTCAATTTCGAGGCATATTTATAGGCGGCACAGCAGCAGCAAATACACTTAGTCAATCAGCAATGCGCATAAATTGAGCAGCGCAAAGCAATTGTAGCAACACCTTCTAAACTCAGAACCTTTTTGTGAAATATTTCCGCGCAAACACAAAAAATTTGAATAGAAAATATAAATAATTAAAGCAATTTACTTACAAATATTTCGAATTAGTCAAATTAAGTGGCTAGCAGCGGCGCAGAGCGTATTTTCTGCGTGACACACTAAGTAGGCTACAACAGTATTCTTAAGACACAACTCAGCTTTGGTGCAGCAATCCGTGGCATCAAACTGACAAGAGAGTAAGCGTTTTGACAATCAGCGAACGTTAGCATATACATACATATACACAAAGATAAATACACACTCGTGAAAGCATTTGGCTGGAAGCGCAGTATTTATGAAAGTAGCAAGAATTTAGACATATTAGCAAACGATTTACCCCAACAACTTAACTGCATCTACAACTTGCCACTCTGAACTTTTTACGAAGCTATACAACCTTTTTATAAACACAAACTACTCAGTCAGTAAGTCAGTGGCTTAGACCGAGACCGATCAAGCAAATCTCAAATACTGCGTATCACAATCTCAAATCTCAAGCTAACCAGCGCTGTGCGAACTATATTTGGAAGAAGAAGCGGATCAACTTTTACCAAATTAAGCTAAATCTAAATCTTTAACTAAACTTGACAATCCAATCCCCACTTTTGTGAAAAGCGATATTTCTTAGACCTCTACTTGCTATACAACAAGAACTATAACAATTTTAACACATTTTATAAAACTAATTAATCAGCAAATTATATCGATATTACTATACTAAAGCATATTTCTTACCAACTTATTCAACTTACTTTATATATACTAGATATATATAAAACAACTGTGTTTCTGTATTACATATATTTACTATTTGTAGCGCAACTTTGACGTGATTTATAGAGCTAGGCATAGTCGAAAAGGAAATTACATTAAAAAGTTAGAAGTAAAATTGAGATTAGTACATTCTGCACAACTTATTGACAATCTTTCTCTTCAAATAGCTGCTATTTTATCAAATATAAATATATATTTCTAGTTGTAATCAAGCATTTACTGATAACTACGCGTTAATTAAACGCACGCTGTGTCTATTCAATCATATTGAAAAGCTGTTCAAACACACTAAAAACTATTAAATCATATTTGAAAAGCTATTCAATCAAATCAAAAACCATTCAATCATATCAAAAACTGTTAAATTAAAAAAAAAAACTATTCAATCTTATTAGGAACTATGCAATCATATTGAAAAGCTATACAATCATATTAAGAACTATTCAATCATATTGAAAAGCTACTCAAACATACCCTAAAGCTTTTCGATTGTACTGTAAATGTATTCAAGCATATTAAAAACTCTTCAATCAAATTAAAAGAGCTGTTCAATCGTATTTAAAACTGTGCAATCAAATTGAAAAATATTCAATCACTTATATACTTATAAATAGACGTACTTGTGACAATCTACATTTTCGTGAAGAAAACTCTGAACTTTGAAGAAGTCTATTCAATCTGAAGCGTTTCAAACTTTACCTACAAAGTATAACTCTTACACGATTTTAGCAATCAATCAAACACAATTATATATATATATATAAACAGTATAAACATTTATTGTAATTATAACGGCAGAGTTATTTCTTAGCCAGTCAGTTACAAAAAGCAGAAATCGAAAGCAAAAAATTTTAACTCAAAAATCAAATTTTTGCTAGTTTCAAGTAAAAAGAAAACTAAATCTTTGCACAAACTTTGTCGAACAAATTAAGTTTAAGTCAACAACAACAAAAACAAATATAAATTTGCATACAAATGTGTAGTATTTTATGAGAATTGAAACAAAAGTGAAATTACTTTAGCGTTCAAGCATATCAATTACAAGAATAACATTGTTATTGTGAAGCAATAATTTGCTTGCCAAAAACAAAATACAAAAACAAAAAAATATTCATAATTACACAATCATCACTTCGTTTTCACACTCATTGAGAAAAGTAGAAACCTTGTGTCTCCTTGCCAACCGCTCCCCACAAAGAATCCCTTGCATATACCACGCAACGCGTCGATTTTGCGCAAGCAAGCTAAAAAAGTGCAACAAAATCAAAAGTAAAACGGCGAACGATCCACAAAAACAACAAACAGCATAATCAGCAAAAACAAAAACAGCAAAAGCAAAAAAATCAAATAAAAAACTGAAAGTGCAAACAAAGTGATCAAGCTAATAAATCAAACTAAATCTATAGCTTAACTAAAGAAATATTATAACAAAAAAGAAATAAAAACAAAGCTAACTACAACTTCAAACATATTCAAAACTAAGAGTTCCTTAAAAACAACAAAAAGCAGTGTGCCAGTGAAAACGCCGCATAAGAAGCGATAAAGCATCAGTCGAGCAACAAATTTCCAAAACAAAAAAACGTCTAATACAACAATTACAACAACTGTCTTAAAAAAAGCATTCACCATTGACGCGTTAAAAGAAACGGTTGCAACAACAGCTTCAGTAACAGCGGCTTTGGCAACAGCAACAATCAAAGAAGAACCGGTTAAGAAAGATTTAATAATGGTAAGAGCAACACATGCCTACATTTATTTAAGACAAAGAACAAAAGAAACGAGATTGAAAAAAGTATGATCAACATAATTAGTAAGCATAAAGAACTAAGCAGGAAATAAACATAAGATCTAATTATAAAGATCTAGGCGAATAGGTAGTCAGGCTGATAGTTATATTGGCGGTATAGTTTCTTCTTCGCAGGCATAACATATTACATAACTGAGTGCTGGAGTGTTGCGATAATTTTGAACTTGGTTTACAGGAACTAAAGCATTGTGTTTAAAATCGTCAAACTTACAAAAATTTTAGTGCCTTTTTTTTTTGCAAATTATGCCGAGATTTCTTTATTTACTGAACTTATTTTTAAGAATTTTTTAAACTAATTTTTTTTTAAGTTCTCAGAGAAATATATTTTGTAACATATAATACTTCAGTAAATTTCAAAGTTGTAAATATCTGCCACATCAGTTAATTAATTATCTGAAGTCAATTGCCAATTCATGCCAGTTTTTCGAGACAAAGATTAAAGCATATGTATTCGTCCCTTTACAAAATATTCAGCGATTTTCATCGTTCCATATACTCAAGAAATTATAATAAAAAAAAACTTTCCGGAATCCCTATAATTTTGTCATAGTCATAAAAAAAAAGTATTAACTAAATTTTCTTTCAAGACTTAACTTAGTTTATTTAAGGGTAGTCCAGTTTAGTATAGGGAGAACTCGTTAATGGATTCAATTATCGCTTTAACTGCATATTAATTTGCTCAGCTTAATTACCTCTTAATAAAATATTCCGCGATTTTGCCATTCCATACTTCCAAGAAATTAGAATCAAGAAGCTATTTGCGGAATCCCTATAATATTTTATTAGCAAATATTTTTAAGCAATACTTGTGAACAAAATCAATTTTCTGATTCTTTTTCTTCAAGGCTGAATTTAGTCCATTTGAAAGTAGTCTAGTTTAGTATAGAAAATAATGTTGATGTACTCAATTATTGCTTTGAATACATATTAATTGTCTTAGTTTAGTTTTCTCTTTACAAAATATTCAGCGATTTTCACCATTCCATATACCCAAGAAATTATAATCCAGAAGAGCTTTCCGGAACCACTATAACTTTCTCATTTAACAGATAGTTTTCAGCTATACTTATGAAGAAACTAAATTTTCTTTGATTCACTTCTTCAAGACTTAATTTTGTCTAATTGCAAGTAGTCTTATTCTAGACTACCGTGATAAATGTTAATGGACTCAATTATTGTTGTTAAGTAAATATTAATTAGCCAACTTCAAATAATTTACTTTTCTATTAGGAGAATATCCAAAAGAATTTACTATTCCAAGTACCAAAAAAAATTGTTTTCCGACGCGCTATAATTTAATCAATTAACAAATAGTTTCCAGTCTTACTTTTTGTGAAAAATGTTAACTAACATTATTTGCTTCAATTTGTGACTTCAGCGCTTTTCATTCTTCCCCAGAGCAAAACACAATAATATTTATAGATAATATTTGACATCCTTTTACCCTAAAAAATTAGCCACAAATATTTGACATCCCTTTATCCTAATAAATTAGCCAGAGAATTACATATCGTCACCTAAAATGCTAAATAACGAAACATCACATCTTATAAATTTATAGAGCGAAAGAAAAACGATATAATAAAAACCACACATATGGACAAAAATTGAGTTTTGGTTATAAAATGGTTATATGTATCGGTTATATATTGGTTTTATCTGACAGTGGAAACTAAAGGCGAAGGAAAAACGATATAATAGAAAGCACTCATTTTGAAACTAAAATTGAGTTTTGGTTATAAAATTGTTATATATAACATTATGTCGGTTATATCTGACAGTGGAAGCTAAAATTTTATGCAGTGTGATGTGGTGTATCTTAAGCAATAAAAACTCAATTTCGATTTGTATGGATGATACGTTGTTTTAGATTTTAGGTAATGATATAGTGAAACATTTATAATTGAATCGATTAAAATACAAAAATGAGTTGAGAGAAATATTTGTAGCTCCAGTTTTTAGTTTTTCAGATCGATAGTATATCTTTGAAAAGAAAAGTCTTAAATTAGTACAAACTCTAACATTTCTGTAGCTAATTACAACTATTTCTAATATATCCGTAACACTTAATTTGTGAATAAATTTGGCAAATTGTGCTAAATTGATTGACAGATACGTTGTCATTAATGGTGCTATTTTAAAAAAAGTATATTATACTCCATTTAGGTTCAATATTTTAGGTTAATATGTTTCTCACATTGATACTCAATACTTCTATCAACTAGAGAATTGTTGCAATTTGAGTGTTGTATCTATCATTGAACTAATTTTTGTTAAACAGAGCATAATTTTCAACAATGTGTTCAAAAATAGACAGAGCTAGCGACTAAATATTTCTAAATATATAAGCAGTACTTGGAGTTTAACCGTTAAACCTGTTTCGTAAGTGCTGAAAAATGGCATGAAGCACCTAAAAGTGATGTTTAAAAATTACTTAAATAAAGGCAAGTATGAAATTTATCGCAACACTTCGTCGGACCAGTAGGCTACCAGAGCACTAATAATACTAATAATAATAAASTTAATAATATTTGCTAAGTAGTATTCACTGAAACGAACAAATATCGTTGCCTTGCGACGCCTTTCTAACTTAAAATTCATATATCTTTTTAGTGTTACATATACTATATTTATATATATAATATATAAACTAAAACTGTCAACGTCAGTTTAGCACCCGTTCTTAAGACTTTATATTGCTTTATCTGCAAGTTTTACAAAACAAAAAAACAAAAAATGCAAATAATAATTTATTGAACTTAAACAAAGAATGTAGCGAGTTCCGAGTTTTTTTACTATTTGTAGCGAACGCTTCACTGCATTTTCAGCTTTTCGTCGACTATTTTCCGCCAACTAAAACTTTTCGTCTGTCCTTTCACTACTTCACTAAGTTATCCCTGCATCTTTATACCTTAAGTTTTCCGTCAAACACTATATATATTTTTTTTAAACTCATAATCTTCTCTCGCTATCTCTCACACACACACATACTTAGTTAAAGTCGGTAGTCGTTACGCTTCCACATTTTTCCTTATTAACAACTATGCAAAGCGAAAAAACAACAATATCCAAGCAATATTTTCTTTTTTCTACCACTTTCTCGGCACTTATTACTAGCAGCTGTTCTAACGGTTTTGTTTTTAAGTATTCTTCCTTTGCTTTCTGGTTATACATATCACTGTCTCTCTCTCTCTCTCGCCCGCTTACTCAACTAACTTTGCATAACTTACTCACGCTCTATCTCTCCCTCCTTTGCTAACTAAATAACTTGCGATACGTTTTTGATTATAACGGTTATGTATTAAATTTATATATTATATTATATGCCTACACTTTCAAATAAGAATTGCACATCGATCACACGGCCACCACCACCAGTACATGCCCCATGAGTAAAAATATAGAAATCACAACCAAAAGCACCAAAAACTGCATAGCATTTTGACGAGATCACATAACAGTACATTCACGCACACAAACATACATGCATATGTACATAGTACGCAGTAATTCGCATAACAAAAACAAAAACAATAACCATAAACCCAACTTCACAACAGCAAATGCAATTGTTGCAAGCACTACCGGCGACCACACACCTGCATCAGCTGCACCAGACGACGCCGCCACCAACACAGGCGACCGCCTACCCAGCGTACCCGGCCACCATGCTGCAGCAGCATCAGGCGCTGCAACACGCGCAGCACCAACAGCAGCAATTCCAGTTGCAACAGCAATACCACTACCAGCAGCAGCAACAACAACATCAGCAGCAGCAACAACAACAACAGCATCAGCAATTGCAAATGCTGCAGACGTACATGCAACTGCAGGCGAACAATCTGGCCGCCGCTGCCGCCGCCAACAGTGGCACAACGACCAAGTACCAGGCTGCCGCCGCAGCTGCAGCAGCGGCCACCGCCGCCGCCATACAACAACAGCAGCAACAGCAGATAACATCGCCGCCGTTGCCGCTGCCGCCGCCACCGACCGCACAACCACAGCAATATTACGCCGCCAGCGCAGCGCCACACCAGCTGACACTCATACCAGCGACGGCCTGTAATGGCGCTGCTGCGGTCGCCGCCGCCATGTTTGCAACGGCCACCGCCGCGGCTGCGGCCAGCGCCAACAACCAGAACCAGAATCACAACCACAACAGCAATGTACATGCATCCGTTGCAGCCACAACAGCAGCCGCCACACCACCAACCAACAACAATGTAAATAATAACATGCTTAATCTAAATGCAACAACTAGTGCTCGTAATGCAGCCAAAACTGCAACTGCTGCCATCGGCGGCGCCATCAAACGCAAAGTCGGCTGCAGCATCGGCCTATTGGCTGTGCCGCATTACGCGTCATATCATAAGCGCAACGCCAACAACAACAGCGGTAGCAATGCCGGCCATAGCGCCTACAACGCCGCACTCCTCCAACACTGTGGCGTTACTGGCCGTCGCGGCGCGGCGACTGCAGCGGCAGGCGCTTCCAATTACGGCAATGATGGCAATGAGTTGCGTTGTGCCACGGCGTCGAACGCGGTGCTGTATGCTAGCGCTACCGCCGACGAGCCAGCGGCGATGGATTTGGAGGAGTCGGAGTTGATTGAAGATGATGCGGACGTGCATGAGAATGGGCTTGCGTGCTGCGTCGAAGGTAACATGTCGACTGGCAGCAGCTGCAGTTCGGCGTCCTCTGATTGTTCTTCTATGCCATCGCCATCCTCTGCTACCACTACTACTACTACTAGTCCTCGTACTCCTCGTACTACTACTACTACTACTACTACACTCCACTTAACTTCTCCTAAAAAGGTTTGTGTCTGACACTCACTATGGATGGCTCGCTCTCGTTCTATCCCTCTTAGCTACTCTTTTTCACCGCATCCGTACTAACTGCATGGAAATCCTTTGTTGTGT